TGACTTGGCGTTTTCTCTTAACTTGACACAAATAACTAACAGCCCCACTAGGTTTGAGTCGCTACTGGACTTGGTCTTTTTATCTGATAACCTGGGTTCAAAAGAATACAGTTTTGAAGTGGTAGAGGGTATCTCAGATCATGACATGGTACATGTGTCAATTTCTTTAGGCCAAACACCTAGATCCCGCACTACAGTAGTTTCGATTCCCGATTTCAACCGAGCTGACGATGTTTCTATAATAGATTTTTTGGAGTTGTCTCTTGGCACATTTGAAGAATTGTCTATTGAATGTGGTGCACACGTTGAGGCGTTATGGTTTAGTTTTAAAAATATAGTGAACAAATGTGTGGTGAAATATGTGCCCTATCGAATGAAAAAGACTCATGTTCATAACCCTTGGATTGATAGAGATATTTTGCATTTCAAGCGTCGAATTGGCCGAGTGAGGAAGAAAACTAATCGAAATGGGACATCATCATGTCGCCAGCTAATCTCTGGTCTAACCTCCAGCCTTAAAAAAAAGATCCGTACAGCGAAAGAAAAGTTTTTCAATGTGACTCTGCGTTCTTTCATCAAAAGCTCGCCACAAAAATTTTGGCGGTACATCTCACCCAGGGGGAAGTCATTTGTACAAAGTAACCTGTCTGCGAATGAGTTCAACGCTTTCTTTAAATCTGTTTTTACTGATGACGACGTGCTGACCCATGGTTTTCGTCCTAATCTAGTTCCTAAAATTGATGACGTAACTATAACAGAGGAAGGAGTTTTCAACTAATTTCTAACTAAAGTAGATACAAAGAAAAGTGCGGGCCCTGATATGATACCAAACACATTCCTTAAACGATATGCCGAATGGGTATCGAAGTACTTAGTCATTATGTTCAGAGCTTCTACTGAGCACGCTGCCCTTCCTAGTGATTGGAAAACGGCAAAAGTAATTCCAGTGCACAAAGGCGGCAACTCTAACTTAGCATCTAATTTCAGGCCCATTTCTTTAACAAGTACAACATGCAAATTAATGGAGCACATCATCTTTACACACATCGCAAGTTATTTGGACAAACACAACCTTATATATAAAAAACAGCACGGCTTCAGAAAATCGCTTTCGACCACAACCCAGCTAATTGAACTAACTCACGACTTGGCGGAAACAATTAACGAGCGGGGACAAACTGATGTGGTATTTTTGGATTTCTCAAAGGCATTTGATAAGGTTTCGCACCCAAAACTAAAAGTCAAGCTTTCAAATGTACTAAAAAACTTTCAAATAACTGACTGGATCACGGCGTACTTAACAAACAGGACCCAATATGTTCATTACAAAAAAGTTGACTCCTCCAAACTTCTTGTCACGTCCGGTGTACCTCAGGGGTCTGTACTTGGTCCCCTTTTGTTTTTAGTCTTCATTAATGACATAGCTGATAACATCGACATTCCCCTGCGTTTGTTTGCTGATGATTGCATAATATATAAAAAAAATAGGTGACCTGGATGATAATTATAAGTTACAGAAAGCACTCGACGAAGTATTTAAATGGTGTACTCAATGGCAAATGAAACTAAATTATGATAAAACAGCTGTTATGACAGTATCATGTCAAAAAGACCAATTTTATTCAGTTACAATCTCAGCGGTCAATCATTACAACGGGTAAACGAATTCAAATATCTTGGATTAATATTCAATAACAAGCTAAACTGGAACCTGCACCTGGAAACGACCGTCAACAAAGCAAGGGGCACTCTGTTTGCGCTAAGAAGGAAATTAAAATTTGCCGATCCTGATACTAAGCTCATAGCCTACAAAGCATTCGTAAGACCAATTTTAGAGTATGCCTCATCAGTGTGGTCCCCTTACACAAAGGTTGGTATTAACAAACTCGAAAGTATTCAAAAGCAAGCAGCCCGATTTATATATAATAACTTTAACAGGAATACATCCCCCACTCAGTTCCTTGCAAGGGCCCAGCTTCAATCATTGGATAAAAGGGCCGATGTCGAAAGGTTAAAAATTTTATATAACATACTAAATGGCAGCATTCACATTGATAGCACCAGTTACTTACAGCCATAATTGTCCGGGTCCTCACGATTAAACCACTCTAGATCTTTAAGGCAATACAGGTTTACAAATGACTGTTACCGGTATTCTTTTTTTCCTCGGGCAATTCGCGGCTGGAATAATCTAAGTAATGATATTGTCACCTTAACCTCTGTTCATGCTTTTATAGCGGCTGCGGAACGCTACGATTAACGTGTTTATTTAATGTTCGCTTGGTGTTGCTGTGTGTACTGTGTTTATGTTGGAACCACTCCTACTATAGCTCCTTGACTGGAGCTGGTAGTATCCCTAAATAAATAAATAAATAAATAAATAAAGTGGCCCAGTGGCGAAGACAAATTATTTGTACATCAATAAAAATAAAAATAAAATCACCACGAACTTTATAAGAGGGCCACACGTCAATCTAAAATTTTGTTCTCCCCTGAGACGAATGCGTTTTTGAGGCCTGCCTTCTAGTACCAGAGTTATCGGTTACCTCTGTAATTAGAGCACGCACCGATAAGGTTTTGATTAGGGTTCCGTGTTTTTGGTAAACACCGATAAATCTCGAAAATGAAGCTCCCATTTCATGCTTATCAAAATCGCGGTAAAAAAAAAAAAAAGAAACGAACAAACCCGAATGAGACTTCTATTTAAATTATCAAAAAAACACACAAAAAAACATCGCTTTAGGGATAGTTTCATACTGTAGTGACCCGGAAGACCCTAAATAAACTGTCCGCGGGACCTCTTGCTTCGGAACCACGCATCTTGACCGTCACTTTCGTTTTATCGGCACGGGGGCGTTCTTCAAGTATTCTGATCACGCGTATCCTTCCTGGAAGTTGGGTAATCCTATGACCGCGTCTTATTTCCTTAAACATAAGCCCCGATAGACCCCGATGTTTTGTCCGACGCCAAACATTTGTACCAAAAAACACCGAATCCGAGAAAAAAATAAACCCAGAATACGCACTCCGGAATTAAGAAACAATAAACCTCGAAAAGAAAGTACCATTATAAACGAGAGCGCTTAGGTAAACTTAGTCAACGTGAATATCCACAATGGCTTGAACCGTGTGGGTATCAGAAGAAAAAATGGTGGTCAATCTCGTCTTGATAGAACGCTTTGTTACACATAAATTGGCAAACGGCGAAAGCTTGCTCTGGCGAGCTTAAAAGAACGGTGAAGTGAGACTTGTAACAGTTATAGTGCACACTGCTGTTGAAAGATGTTACGTGTTTCACTTGGTGGCTTTGGTTTATTTTTGTAGAACGCACCTATCGACATTCGCCAAATTATGCTGAAACATAATAGTATTCGCGATGCATGTCCACGCTCGGCGAATCAGCAGTACGTTTGAATTGTGTTCGCCAATGATAATAAATCTCAGACTATTCTTTGTTTCAATCGGGGCTTCTTATTGAAGGGCAATAAAATGTCTAGCTGACAACAATATTATAATGATAGAAGCTTCTTGAAAGGGTGCACCTCACCCTATATAACAGAGACAAAAACGATAATTAACAGTGAGTTCTGGCGAAATTCGGCTGTCAATGAATGGCCTTAAAATTGGTTCCCCAGATTAAATGACGCATCTGGGGCCCTAATCTGAACACTTCGCAAAAACGTCGGCGACGTGTCCGGCGGCTATGATTGGCCGACGCCAAGGTCAAGTGCGGCGTTGGCCAATCACGGCCGCCAGATTTCTCGCCGACTTTTTCGCCAACAGTCCAAATTATGGCCCCTGAACCGAACTTACAAGCAAAAATAATTTTTTGCTCAGTTATTAAATTTTTTTAATCTGGTCAGAAGGAGCGAGAAGTTTTACGCAAGCACGGAGAACCTGATGTTATATTTTGTAATATCATGGCTGTACATCTTGTTTTCGAAGCGTTACATGAAGCTCGATGGTGCGAAATGAATATGGCGGAAACTCACGCCAGCAAAGTGAAGAAAAACGAGAAGGATACTGTGTTTAAACTTTCTGCGCGACTTGGAGGTTATAAATATGCGGCGTCATATACTGGATAGAGCAGGAAAATTTTAAGGCTAGATTCTTTTAATTTAAAGATAATACATTACACGCTAAAAAGAGTAAAGCCTAGGCCGATGATGTGTTTAGATTAGTTAGCTAAAGAACCCACCGGAGCTTCCCTTTAATTATCATTATCATACAAGTGAATATATCAACATACTATAATTCTGTCTGTTCATCACGATGGGTTATATACCTACGAGCCCTTTAAGCTTCACAAAGTGATCGGAAAGCGGTAGAAGGCCACCGTTACTTTGTAACAAAAATCGCATATGGGAGATGCAAAACCTGCAGGCATAAACAGAAGAAAAAAAAACTGCGGGAGAGGGGGGGGGGGGAGGCGGTTTAATTGCGACCATAAAATAACAGAACTTTTGGTAAAGGCTGCCGTCAACAGCAACACCTGACCGCTTGTTGCTTCGAGTGACGTAAAGGCATGTTCCTATCTTGTGATGGCACCAAACATTCGATTGCTACTTTTTGCTCCAAATTCAAGGTTGTAGAGGATCGTGTAGTGCATTGGAAAATCTTGCAATTGGAATGTGGTTTCTACGCTATAATTATGCTTGTCTGTTGCGACAGAAACATAAAATTTAGTAGAGACCCCCTACCGACTTTGAGAACCAGTTAAATCAACGTTGTGGCAGATTGTGATCCCAGTTTCGTGCTTTGTAGCTGCTCGGAAACTCTAAAAGACGTGCTATCCACAATTGGACATGCGTTGTTGTCAAGGTTAAAGTGGTCTCTCCTAAATTCGCAAAACGTGCATTTCTGTTTTTTTGTTTTCTTGAGAAAAGATTTGGTGGTTTTTCATTGGGCGGAGATTTTCGCGGCTGATAATATTTAGTATAAAAGCACTGGGACAGAAATCAAAGTTAAGCAGTAGTATCCTACTTCTTTTAACCTGCAAAATGACCGGAGTGAGTAAACCACTTTTAAGTGCTTGAATAATTACGCTTAACTATGCTGTCCGACGAGCTTTAATTATATAACTATGGAAATTATCCCTTTGTTGCACGAGATGAGACCAATGTAATTGTCGACCGGGGAGGGATCGCAATGAACCTCAGCAAGGTTTCCAACCTTGTGTTTGTAGAGGATCATATAAAAAACGCGCCTAGGCAAAACAACATTAGATTTTGAGATCCTTAAGCGCCGATTCGTAGTTCTCCTAAAGGTTATTTGATGCATGTCAGTATTTTTTTTACTTTAAAGTATAATAGTTTTCTCAGTTATCTAAATATGAGAGACATTATTAATTAAAACATTTTAACTTTAAAACTTGTGACATCCGAAATGTGCTAAATGGAGTGAAGAAACATGGCAAGCAGCGTGTCAGTGAAAATGTTTGAATTGATTTAGGAATGCATTCAAATAACAGTTTGCCCAAAAAAATCTAAGAATACTTGCAGGATTGCAGTAATGCCAGTTGTATATGTTCCTCTATAAACCTAACCCTACGTATTTGTTTCAGTACACCTTCTATGTTTTAGAATGTAGTCATGTTCTTTTAGAACGATTACCAATGTTCGCAATAGTGGTCCTATTGAGACTTAGAAAATTTCATAATTGTCAGTGTGTGAAGACAATTTTTTATATTGTTGCAGTTCCGCGCTTGTGTACTTCTGGCTCTGGCCAGTAGCGCCGTCGCTGATTACGCCTGGGGTGGTCTCGGTTATGGCCACGGTCTCGGCTACTCCGGCCTTGGCTACACTGGTCTCGGCTACACCGGACTTGGCTACGGACATGGTCTGAACTACGGACATGGTATCAGCTACGGGCATGGTCTTGGTTATGGCCATTCTGGTCTGACCAGCTACGCTGTTGGTGCACCAGCCAGCTATTCTCTCGCTACCCCAGCTGTTCGCCGCGCTGTGGTCGCTCCCTATCAGGTTGCTCCGACCGTCGCTCACTACCAGGCTGCTCCAGTGGTTGCTTCCTATGCTGCTGCTCCAGTTGTCAACTACTCCCCTACCCCAGTCGTCAGCAAGGTGGCTGCCTACCAGGTTGCCCCAGCCGTTCAGACCGTTGCTCATGCCCCGGCTGTGGCTACCTACGCCCACGCCGCTCCTTCTGTGGCCAGCTACGCCCACGCCGCTCCAACTGTGGCTGGCTATGCCCACGCCGCCCCAGTGTACGGATACGGTGTTGGATCCCTCGGCTACGGTGTTGGCCACTACGGGTACGGACAGGGACTTGGCAGCTACGGCCTGAACTACGGTTACGGTCTTGGAACCTACGGTGACTACTACAACACCCTCCTCCGCAAGAAGTGTAAGTTCCTTTAACTATCTTTATTTCTAATTTTAGTGCACAAATGAGTGATATCGTCATAATCATTCAATGTTTTGTCTGGTTATTTGAACAGAAACTGCATTAAGAAAAGGTTCTCCACGGACGTCGGTCGACAGGATGCCATAAAGAAGAAAAATGTTTACTGCCAACGTTTTGTTGTCACAAAGACGCAATAAATGTGTTGAGTCCTCTTAATTGTGTTCACATTTTTTTTTCAACCGCCGTTCTTGTTTGCAACCAAGATCCTAATTACCGGTCTTCCGATAAAAAAAAAAGAAGTGTAGTCTAACTGGCTGATCTCTACTATAGGATTGTAGGTCACACCTCCTAGATATCGTTGAAGAGAAGTTCGAAGATATTCCCAAATGCGATACAGCTTTGCCAATACTAGAAACTCCTCCGAAAACCTATGGGAGCAGCGGCGAACGTAACAGTGACACGTCTAGCGGACTCGGAGTCTACGGAAGCAGACGACGCAATGGAAAAGTATAGGCTCCGCGACGTCCTCGAGCTTTGCGAGCCCCGTTTCTTCACCCCAACAGCTGAAACAATTCATTACGGTCAGTTCACTTACAAAGCGGAATCCACGGATCGCAACTGCAGCGACAATCAAATAACGACGCGCGCATAAACAAATAGAGATCAGCTTATTTAGAGGTCTCAAACGCCGCTCAGGGGGATCACACGCGTTCGAAGCGCAACTACGTAGTAACAGGTTACTGTTTATCCGTTACAAACTGCGTTGTCACAATATCTTACCTGAATAGGTGATTATTAAACCGTGCGCAAACAACATGTTAAAATTACCAGAGCAAGTGCACCGGCCTCTGCAGCATTACACAAACAAAAAGTAACGAGAAAAATGACCGTTCAAACACTTTCCGAATTTTGCAGAAAAGATGGGTTCCCCATTTGAGACGAAAATAAAAAGAAATGAGGAACAGTCGCGAACAACGGCGGATGAAACAAAGAAGTTAGCAGACGATAAAACGATACAAATCGCCCAGCAAAGACCTCCTTCAACGACGACGATCGCACGGGGCGTCAGTAGGAGCATTGAAAATTAGCAGGTGGTGCTCGCCGTTGGTGTTGAGTCCACAAAAACCAAAGCGAAAGCAACACGACGAAGCTACTAAAAAAAAAAGAGCTTCCCTTTTTTTCTTTTTTTGAGCTGCACGTTACACTTTTTTTTTTTTTTTTTTTTTTGCTTTTGCGGTTTTGGTAGGTACTAAGAACAGAAGAGACGAAAGGAATAACGTAGTCCAGCTCACACTGCCCGGTAAATAAGAGCCGCACACTGTAACCTGCTTCGTGCTAGCAGTGTGTGACCTTTTTTTGCTTTCGCATTTCTTTTCCCAGTGACTTTGGCAGGTTGTTTGTTTGCTCGATTGGCGCAGCAGTTCAAAAGTATATTCCAGTACTTGTTGACGTACATCTCAAAGCAATCCTTGCACACCGTACCTTTGTTTTGAGTGTCAATCAGCGGCCTCAAGCGCGTTTTCAGTTGAACTTTTGTTTGGTGAAATGTTCGTCTGTTGAGGCGTCAGTGGCGATTTTGAAGCCCGACTTGGATAGCTCTTCCAGTTTAATTTGGAGTCACGTAATTACTCACGTTCGTTCGGTCTTCGGGAAGCGGAAGAAGGATTTTCCACCACATCACAAAATCTTGTTTTTGCAGAGGAGATGGCAGGCTCATGGCATGCCTGCCTTCTCCAAGTATGCGCTGGTGTATGCCCGAAGGCGGCCGTTTGATCAACCAACGATGAAACTTAACAGACGTGACCGCGTACTCAAATAAAATTCGAATAGAAATGGATAACGAGCTTACACCTTTTATTATATTTATAAAGTATCAAAAAGTACATATGAAGATTTCGGATCAGAAACTCAATCGAAGGCGGACAGAGGAGGTTATCACAGACGGCAGTAGAAAAACAACAACAACAGCAACAAAGTTGCAGACGGCCCTCCAAATGTCCGGGCATAGCGCAGCAGACGAACCGGTGGTAGTAAGCGACGAAACGAAGGAAAGAAAGTAAAAACAAAGCCAAACAAGGCAAAGAAAAATACGCGATGATTCGAACGTCAAGTAGACACAAGAAATAAAAAGGCAAGCAAAAAAAGCAAAAAACATAAACCCAACAGGAAGAAAGCCCGCGGTGGCGTAGCATCGCCTCAAACATGAAAAGAATGTTAGACTGAAAAATGGAAGGAGGTGCGGTGCGGTGCACAACCGTCCAACGGGTGATTTTTTTCTTTTGTAACTCCGTTTTTATTAGTTTAAGTAATAGCGTCAGATTTGCATGTGCACAATCGACTTCTTCCAGAGCATACGGACATCACAGTAACGTACGGGGTTCGAAATTGGCTTTCGCCTCTTCATCCGGAGACGATCGGGATTAGTCAGCTCGCCTATTCGACGAAACGGTTTTCAGCAATGGATTCCTGAGAAACTGAAATTACAACAACAAAACGAATTGATCGATATAAACAGTAAAGTTGAAACGAAGCAATGTTCTAATTGTTTCCTTTTTTTACATTCCCCTTCTTTAAGAAACAAGGCGAAGGCACATTTGTGTTTTGCCTGGCTTACGTAGGTTCTGACAGTGTTTTTTTCAGGAGAACCCGAAAATTGTACCTACAAGCTGTTAACATCTTTCCCACGCGAAGAAAATGTCATTGACTCATGAGGTGGCACCTATTTTTTAGCATTCAAAGCAGCGAATACCCGTGACAATTCTTTTTTTCATTGGTCACCTTGCACGGAGATAGGCAAAACCAATGCGTTCTGGAGAATTCGTCCGCTAGCGGAGACTCCGAGCTCGCCAGGGGCGCTGCGATCACTTTTCGCCCGCAATCAGCGGGAGTTGTCAGTATTGGCTTACATGGTATTTGATATTCCTAACGTTGTCAATTCACATGACATCAGGGTTTTTAGAGAATGCTTTCTTACAATTTGGAGGGGTTATTTTAGCATTTAGATTTACACTATCAACAAAATGCTTTCCTTTTTTTTTGTACAGAATATTTCCGGATCGCTAAAATGCAGTTTTTTTTTATACTTCAGTGGTTCTCAAACGAGCTGTGCAACGATTTTAACGTTGAAAGATTTGGCATCTTCTGCTTTAGATATTGTTCACCTTGTCACAAATGACAGAAAGCACACCTCCCTTCATCCAAATGTTGCCATTCCGCCGCGTAATAGCGTGGCAAAACTTAGAATATTCCCCGACCTGCAGCCGCGAGCGGCAGCCATGAGAAACAAGCGGAGTGACGTCAATGGGGAATCTTGTAGAAAGATAGCAAGTTGTGCGAATACCTGCTCGATAAAAGGTAACTTTTCTATAAATCTTGTCGTTCCAAAATATCTATAAATGCGTCAAAAACCTGGTATCATCGACAAAACTTTTCTCATACGAAGTTTTAGTGGCGCCATCTATCCCAGGTCCACAAAACCGTCAGCTCTCTCTGCTACCGTGAACAGCCGCCAGAAGCCAAAGGGGCAGGGGGACAGGGCCGGACAGGTGTGGATGAGACCATATTGTTCGCGCGGCGCCCGCCAGCACGTGGTCACGCGGTCGCGAGCGGATGAGTTCTCGCTGCTCACTGATGGCTCTAAAGAAAAAACTTTTCCGAAACCCCGCGCCTACCCCATCAACATCACTGCGCACGTGACCCGGAAGACGACGCACGAGTTGAGAGGCGGCAAAAACCTGGATCTTTTTCATTTCTTCAAATAAAAACTAGGGTATCCAGGCAAAATCTGTTTTCTGTAGTTCACTGCAGAAGTGTCAGGCGTCAATTAACTTCCACAATAATTTGAGCAAAGCCCTGAAATTGTTGCACAGCTCCTTTAAGTTTTATAAATCTTGAGAAACATCTGATCTGATGAGAGTGCTGACAACCTATTCCAAATCTAGAAAAAAATCTTTAGTATGCGCCAGGGATGGGCAGTATTTCAAATACAAGTATTTGAAATACGTATTTCAAATACTTTGTGTATTTTGCGTTTGTATTTAATTACAAATTGGGTAATGTATTTGACGTGTGTATTTAAATACTAAAACGTGGGTATTTCAAATAGAATTGCAATTAAATACAATTTTGCGGACAAAAATACATCCCTCAAATTTATTGTCACTGTCCAGAGCAGTAAGAAAACTACGCTCTGCACCGAATGCAGTGTCTCTGAATCAAGCACAAGAGTTTAGTGACTTTGTGATTAAGGTGATAGTCCAGGGCAAGAATAGTGACGAAATCAACGTTCACAGGCAAACTGAATAAATAGGTGCCTGTGACAACTTGTGATGCTTTCCAGCCTGATATCCACCCATATTTTTGCCTGGAACATTCTAAATGCGCGGGTCGTCCAGATTTTCGTAACTGATGTGAGTTGCAGCAATCAAAAATTATCTAGCTAGTGCTGCGCCTCTTGGTCGTCTCGGTTATTTGTTGGTCTATACCAAAATGTAATCGACAAAAAAAAGCTGCTTGAAGCTCTTTACTTTTTTCACCTATTACATCCAAGCTGATTACATTTTTTGTGATTATATTTTTATTACGTTAATAGAGCCTCGCACACTTACTCCCGAGTGTGCGATGCAAAATTAAAATGAGATACCCAGAAACCCGTTGCAGGTGACCTGAAGTCGCTAACGCAAATTTTGAGGATTGTATGTGGAAAAGTATTTGGAGGACACCAAATACATTTGGTTGTCTTTGCATCTTGTATTTAAATGCTTTTTTTTAAATGTAATTAAAATTAAATACATTTTTGACGAAGTATTTTGTATTTGTATTTCGATACATTCTTGCATGTAATTTTCCCATCCCTGGTATGCACAAAAAACAAAACTAATACAGCGTTTTATTCATTTGCAAGTGCTACTACTTCACCTCCAACACCGGCGATTAAACGGGTGAAACTCCAGTGCCTTCACAAGCGCTTTCGATCCAGATAAGATCTTGTAGTCTTTTTCACTTTATTAGCGATAACTGGAATATCAATTGAGCTAATTAAATGGTTTAAAGTTTATTATATGACATGAAACACACCAATTAGAATTAAAAATGCCACAAACAAATTTGACACTAGGATTATAGTTTTAATTTTGATACTGAGGCTCCCGAGACATTTACAGAGTCTTGCCCTTTTTATAAAGAAATATTATAAAAAAAACTACAAACCACAATGC